GTTGGAGGAAGGGAGAAGAAGATACTTTAAACTTTAAATACAAATATGGTCAGAAGATTCTTCCCTTGCGTCCTCATGCTTAGCTAAGACAGGTCAAGAACATATTTTAAAAACCAGAGGATTAAAGCAAGAAGTGCTTTAGGAAATCTACATTCGGAATGTTGCTTGCTTTCTATGGTCCGTAGTCCCCATTCTGTGGTGCCCTAAGAGGAAGGACAGGCCCCTCCCTGTGTTTCTGAAGTCTTCTCCTTGGCCTGCTTCCCCATAGATGCATCATTTTAACATCTAAAGTCAGTAATACAGTAGTCCCCTCCTTATCCTCAGGAGATAAATTTCAAGATCTTCAGTGGATGCCTAAAACTCTACATAATACTGAACCCTATATATACACTGTGTGTTTTTCTATGCATACATACCTATGGTAAAGTTTAATTTATAAATTAAGCATAGTAAGAGATTAACAACAATAACTAATAATTAAATAGGACAATTATAACAATATACTGTGAAAACAGTTATGGGAATGTGGTCTCTCTCTCGCTGTCTCCAAATATTGTACTGTACTACAGGTAACTGAAACTTTATAGAAAGCAGAACCACAGATAAAGGGGACTAACTACTCTCCAAGAAAACCAGTGTTCTCAAAGTCCTAACCACAAAATTCTGTATCCTATCATCTACTCTTTGAATTTTGGTCTAATGGTATTCTACTCTGCCAAGCACTGCATTAGATATATAAAATACTTGTCTCATTTAAATACCCTGAAAAGTTTGTTATTGATCTCATTTTATAGAGGGGAAAACAACTTTAAAAAAAAAAACTGGGGGGGAGCCAGATGCAGTGGGTCACGCCTGTAATCCCAGCACTTTGGGAAGCTGAGGCAGGTGAATCGTTTTAGCCCAGAAATTTGAGACCAGTGTGGGCAACATCTCTAGAAAAAATTAGCTAGGCCTGTAGTTCCAGTTACTTGGGAGGCTGAGGTGGGAGAATCACTTAAGCCCAGAAGTTGAGGCTGCAGTGAGGCATGATCGTGCCACTGCACTCCAGTCTGGGCAACAGAATGAGACTCTGTCTCAAAAAAAAATTATATTATATATATATATATATGTGCATATATATAATTATATATTTTAATAATATAGAATTTATATCTATTTATATATAATATACATAATTATATATATATATTTTTTATTTTCTCCCCTTAAGTGACACAATTAAGTGTTGGAGCTGGGCTACACAACTGATTCTGTTGGACTCTAAAAGCCACGTTGTGTCAAAACTCTGTAGTACCTTTCAGTTTTCAAGTGCTGTCCTTGGAAGGTTTCAGTTTTATTTTATTAAAGAAGACAGAATCTCATTCACCCACAATCTTATAGCTCCTAGGAATTTCTGTACTGAAACATTCTGTTCTGAGCTATGTTCAGTATCCATTCTTTGTCAGCTACTTGAAGACAGCTAACATAGGGAAGGGAGGAGAATATTAGAAACAGACTATTACGCTACGGCTCACGTGGACAGCATTCATCCTCATCAGAAATGGCCAATCTGTTGCATATCTGCCTTCCTCTGCACTGTTTAAGTTTTAATTATCTTCCAACTGTCTGAGCTGCTGTTGAGGACCTCAGCAAGAACAAAAGATATCTGTTCTATTTTTCAGCAGTTGTCCTCTCTGTACACTGATGAAGTCACTAGCTGCCTCTGCCCTTATTATCTGGTTAAATCAGAGTCTGACTTGCGCTGAAAAGGCAAAGAAATAAATCTTAAACTTTACCTATATTCTTTAGGATTTCTTGTGACAGAGAAAATGTGATACCTGCTTCTCCTGTTTTGGTATTTAGAGGCAAGTTTAGTTTTGTCTTTCAAAAAAAGCAAAAAGAAGACTCTCCCATTCCTATCCCTTGGATTTTTCAATAACTTGGGTAGTAGTAACTTCTTTTACCTTGGGATGCTCCATTGTGAGCCCCATTAAGGAAATATGCTCATGATCAAGGATGGTACCTATGCTGCCTCTTCCTCTTTTTAGTCATTGCTCATGGATCAAGGCACTACTCCTGTGCTGGATAGGGCCTCTTTTTTTTCTTTTTCTTTTTTTTCCATATTTTTGAGACAGAATCTTACTCTGTCACCCACTCTAGAGTGCAGTGGCACGATCTCAGCTCACTCCAACCTCCGCTTCCTGGTTCCAAGCGATTCTCCTGCCTCAGCCACCCAAGTAGCAGGGGTTACGGGAGCATGTCACCATGCCTGGCTAATTTATATTTTTAGTATAAATAGGGTTTTGCCATCTTGGCCAGACTGGTCTTGAACTCCTGACCTTGTCATCCACCCACTCAGGCCTCTCAATATGCTGGGATTACAGAGATACCTTGCCCAGCCCTGAATTCTTAATGTAGAGCTTCAGGCCACTCCTACTAGTCATTAATGTCAGGCCATTAGTTGAAGCCTTTTGTCATTTCTAGTCTACATCTTTAGATTGGGGAAAAGTCCAGGATATTTACAACTTTTTGCTTGAGAAGAAGGAGCTTGGCTTCTTTCTTTTGATGTCACATGTTTTTAAATGTGTATTTGAGTAGGGACTTTATGCCATTTTTGCAAATTATGCTATAATTTTCTAGAGACTTAGAAAGCATTGTATGACTAGAATAATTAAACTTGTTATGAGCGTTGCATGTAACAGGCTGATCAAAAAGTGTGGTGTACAATGGCAAATTGCTAATTTGACCTCAGAATTATGCAGCAGAGATAACATTATCTTCATTTATACAAAACTTTTTATCTGGAGGCATCTCTCAATGCTTTTCCAACCATATATATTATTTTGTTTGTTATCACAAATGCCATCATTAAGGGTATAAAATGTATTCCAATATAACTTTTTATTCTCAGCTGCCTATAACTGGTGGGTGGGGGAGGCGAAGTTTGCATATTTTCTCTCATTCCTAATGTTTGCACTAGGTAAAATTCAGGAAATTAGTTATCTAAACTTGGAAAACCTGATTCCACACAGTCTTTTAAAAAGAAAGAACAGGGGGAAGGAATGTTATTGCATCCCTTAGGTCAGCCTGGACTATATTAACCTTGAGAACCTCCAGTGGGAAAAAGTCCTGTTAGTCACTTCCTGACTCTTCTGTACACAGTAGGAGAGCTGCCTCTCCTTTGGTAGAGACTTGAGCTAGAGAATAGCAAAATTATCTGATCAAATTCCACTGAACCACATTCCCTCTATTCCCTCCAAGGTTGCAGACAGCAGCACTCAGGCTGTCACAGCCATATGAAGTTGAAAATGCTATGATGGTTGAGTTCCTGTGGGTTTTAGGAAATGGACAAAATTAGATTCAGGCCAAGGTGCCAGAATTAATACATCCCTTCCCTTCCAGAAAGCACCAAGGAGACTGTCGCTGCCAAAGTGAAGGACAATATGATCTTTACTACCCAGACCATTAAAAACTTATGTTGAATGAACTCACCCACCCACCCAAACCCAGTAAAATCAGCACCTTCTGTCTGCCTTGAGGGCTCAAAGGAAGAGATTAGGGCCAACTTCCTGCTTAACCAGTGGGCTCTGGTACATGTAGCAGTTGCCCTGATTCTCAGCACAGGAAAAATGGTGTCTCCCTGCAGTAGGTGTGAGCACACTGAACAGTCAGTTCAGGAGATAGCGTTAATATTGGTTATGAAGATGAGTGATCAGCTCATGTCAAGGAGCAGATGGCTAAATGAGGTGCACAGGGAATGCCATGAGAGTTAGGCTTGAAGAACCAGGAGGGAAAATAGCCCATGATATAAAAACCCCAGATATAGTCTCCTTAATGTAAATTTTCTAAATCAGCATTTACATTATATAGTTAACTTGGACTGATGAGAAATGTAAGGAAATTACCAAATTAGTGAACAGTGATTAACTCAGAAGTAAAATTATATCGTCTAAATTGAAGGTTGTTTTACACAGCAGAGGGGAAGATATTACTAAAACCTTGCCCAGTCTGTCTTATCCTAATTGAAATCTGTTCATTTGATATGCCCCATCCTTCAGAGTGCATAGTTCATAATTTGGGAGAGCATTATCAGTTAATCTAGTTATTTTTCCTGGTTCTTCCTTTGAATTCCAGTAAAACAGTGTCTGGCAGATCCCCTGTGGAACTGTGTGACATTCAGAAGAGTGAGTTTGTCTGTTCATTAACCTGTGAACTGTCAGGTCCCTTTGGAGAGCGAAGAGAGCAAGTTACTCCAAGGTTAATGCTTGTTTGTTGGAGATGAAGTCTCTAGGGAGTTAAAGAGGATGAACGGCCCAAGATGCTCAAGGGCTGCCCAGTGAAACTCTGCACTGTGTGCAGATGCCAGATTCATGTGGCCAGGAGGGAGGCTGCAGAGCAGGCTGGGCCATCTCTGCAGATCACTTCCTCTGGTCAGGAGACCTCCCAGCAGTCAAGTAGGGGGCTGGCGTAAGTATATGAGGTTAACTTCCTAAAAAGATTTAGGAACAATATTAAAAGAAATTGTGAGTAGTTTTCAGTAGTTTCTGGATTTTTCCTTTTAAACAAGAAAGCAGTATTGATTTCATGCATTCATTTCCAATTGATGAAATCTCCCATTGAGCTGGAAAGCATTTGATTGTGCACATGTGCTCAGGCGCATTCCTAACCATAAGAGGAGAAGCTATTTGTTATTCTCCGGTATAAATGTCTTATGGTCATGTACCTGACTGACATTCAAGGGTTGAACTGAACAGTACCTGGTTTGGTTTTCTGAATAAATCAAATTAATATAAGTTCTACTTAATTCTCTGCAAAATGACCTCTCCCTTATTTTGGTATAATTCTTCTAGGTTCAATAGGGGCTACCCAAAAGGAGCAGATATAGGTTTTGAAGACAAGCTCAGAGCCTCCTTTGGTCTATATTCTTGTGCACTACATGTTTAAGTGACGTGTCTGTTATCCTTGGATTGATTGTGGTGGGAGCTCATTTTCAACAGATTTTCTTTCCTTTTTACCATCAGGTATATTCGAATTGTTGGGACTCACAACACAGTGAACAAGATTTTTCACATTGTGGCTTTTGAATGTATGTTTACAAACAAAACCTTCACTCTTGAGAAGGGGCTGATAGGTAAGTATTACAATTACATTTTTTGTGTATATATTTAGATACTTTATCTTCAAATATTTGTTACTCTGTTAACTCATCTTAATCAGTTCCAAGGACTCTGGTTGATTTGAATGCCTTATTACTGAATGACATAGGGAATGGCTTACATTTTTTAGAAGTATTCAAAATAGTAATTCCAATGAACTTAAAAGAATGAATGTAAATATTGTACTAGTGGTTAGAATTGAAAATATTTTAGTAATTAATTCAGATTTGCTATGTAGGGAATGCTTGTGATAGTCAGGTGAAACCCTTCACACCAAGGGATTTAATGATAGGTGAGTTTGAAGAGAAATCTGTATAATATTGATTGGATGTTCAGACTTTCCATGGCTGTGCAGGTATTTTGGCCTTTGATTTGATATTAGTGGTATGCTTAGGTATGAGGGTATCTTCTTTTCATGGATATGTGAATTCATATTTGCCTGATTTAGCCTCAAGAAAGTTCATCTCACAGAAGTACCTCCATATAATATAAATAAGACCAAAGTGACTGAATTGTCACTTTTGTATTGTCATTGTACAAGTCAGGTAAGTGGGTGGGAAAAACTGCCTGACTGATATTTGGAAAGAGGATTTTAAATTTTGGTGTAATCCTTTGCTTGGTTTTTTGTCTTGTTTTGTTTTTATTTTCAGTCAATGGGTAGTGTAGGCATTGTGTAGAGTCCATCCCAGCTCTTGACATTCCACATATCATGAGTGGCTTTGCCATTCCAGACTGCTTATTCTGCTTTTTTCCCCATGCCCATACGTTTCCAGTCACCTGCTGCAAAGATCATGCTTAGATCAATTAGATCCTTAATTCTGTCCCTTTATTGCAGTTTCCTTTGAAAAGGGACTTCATATGTTCCAGTGCTGGGGGATAAGATGGCCCTGCCTTGTGGTCTAAAACAGAATTCTGTATCTTTACAAAGGGGCTGATGTATCCTCTCCTTCCCAAGTTTTGTTCATGTTAGCACATGTGTCCATATTGACCTATGTCCTAAAAACATGGAAATAACTATAATGGGAAAGATGAGTGTAACTTGCAAATGTTTATTAACTCTTTGAATGGTCACAACCTAAATCTTCCTAACCTCTGCTCTGTCTAAAACCTAATCCTTTACTTATGGAGAATAATATTAATTTGGGGAATAATATTAGTAAAGTAGCAAGAGTGGAAAATATTCCAATACAGACAGTGTTTAGAGCACAACTGAAATAGCTGCCTCTGTTTTTTGTTGTGAATATAATTTTAACATTAAATATAAATGTTAATAATTTGTGTGACTTTTAGGTAATTTGAAAGTTAGCAAGTGTGAAGAATTACCTAATGTTAGTGTTTTTTACTTCTGTAGGCTGTATGTAGGCTGTATAGAATTGTGGTGATGGAGGGTTGTGGGGAGGGCATTCTTTTTCACAGGTTGTCCAGTCCCTTCTATAGACTGTAGGCCTCACTCTGTATCTGACTGTGCCTTCCATAAACTCAAGGCCCCACTGTCTATCTGACTGTCCCTTCTATAGACTGTAGGCCTCACTGTGTGTCTTACTGTCCCTTCTATAGACTATAGGCCTCACGGTGTAGTTGGGAAAGCCCTCAGTGAAAAGAATCTTAGAAACCAGGACCCTTCATATTTACAAGATGTGTAGCATTTGGCTACTCATTTCAGTTCAGTGCACTGCATTTTTGAACTTGCTGTATGGAAGGTACCGTCTACATCAGTAATCTCCCTCTTCTTAGTAGAGGAAAAACAGGTTTGTGGACACTGTAATTATCAAGGAAACAAGCCTATCTGACATAAAAGGCAGTTACGAGAATGAAATTCAGGATTGGTTGTAATTAGGGGTGCTGTTGTTGGTATGCATGTTTTGTCTAAATTGAACTAGTCAGCATCATCAGAAGCCATAACAGTCTCTGACATGTTGGTGATGAAAGAAAATTACAGAGATACAAGAAGGATTTTTGGTGTCTCGTTAAACATTCTTCTTCAAGCACTCTTCTCTGATCCTCACAAGTTTGACTCCAAAGAGCACTGTAATCATCTGCCTGTCATCGTCCCTCAGCCAAGTGAGAGCAGTGGTGCAGGTGGGCACATATGTACATGTGCTTGCCAGCAGATGGCCTGCAGTAGAACCGCCTCTGACCCTCCTTGGACCATCCTCACAGCTCAGAGCTGCTCATCCTGGGCAGTGATTGGAGTAGTGAGGGAGTTGCAGATCTGCTTAGCTTACAGAGGTGTTTAAAACAGTTATGGCCAACTTAAACCATGTTGATTATCTCAGGTGCATTTTAGCAGCACACAGGCCTTGGCCAGTCACCCTGCTGGTCCTCAACTGGTCAACTATAGGGGTACAGGTGTGTCAAAATCACCTGGGGTTATTTTTAAATTGCAGATGCTTACTTCTTACACTTTTATATCCTGTAAATATGCACTTCCTTCCTGAGAATCACTGATATGAACTCTGTATTTTCTTGGGGAAAAAAAGTAAAGGTAATGCCATCATAAGTGATTTGAGTATCAAATCCCACCTTTGTTTCTAGATTCAGCATGTTTTTCTTTCACAGTTCCTGGTCTTCTTTTCACAGTGCAGGCTCCTTTAAGTATTCTTCTGTAGGCCTTAAAAATAATTTCTATCATATTTGTAATTTAAAAAAACAGATCCTAATGTTATTTAAAATTTATAATGATGACAGAAAATACCATAAGTAAAAATAAGCACATCCACTATATAAGATTTTAGTCTTCCTTTCCACCAAAGAGGTTCTTTCCCATTTTTGATGACCGTGTGTCATGCCTCACTCAGCTTCACTTGCACAGATTCATGGGAGGTGTTGAAGTCCTTGGGTTCATGAAGCCATGAGAACAGGCCATAGCTCAACCACATTGCCCAGAGCTGGGCCTTTCTTACACCTTGCTGCTACCACCACAGCCTCTTCTCTTTTGGTGGCTGCATCTGGATCTTGCTGGAATGTATTCTTTCCTGGGAGAGTCAGGCTGTGAAGACTGTCTCCTTTGTGTTAGAGGCACTTGTAAGAAACCTTAACCTGTCTTACCAATGAGGCCTAGAAGAATTAATTAGAAGAGATGTGACTGCTATTTCATAAACATTCAACCTTCCAAAGACTGTATTTCGTTGGCCTCAGTACTCCACTTTGGTGATACTTGCATAGCATTTGCTAAGTCCTTCTGCTTTTCGTAATGATTTCCAGATCTTCCTTTTCATTTAATCTTGTGTTTAAATTCACTTTTTAATGCCCTACTAGTTATCCGGGTAGAGAGAATAGTACCTATCACCCAGCTTTAAATAATTATCAATTCACAGCTAACCTGGTTTTATCTTTATGTGATCTACTTTTCCCTATCAGATTATTTTGAAATTAATCTCAGACATTTTATCCTTTCATCCATAAATATTTTATTATGCAAATCTAAAAGTAAGGCCTCCTTTTTGTAGCCATAAGCACAATACCATCATACTACCCTAAAATTAAGCAGTAATTCCTTAAGAGCATTAAATATGCAGTCAGTGTTCCAATTTCCCTAATTGTTTCAAAGTCTGGAGTGAGAATGTGTTTTTATAGGCTGAGTAAATCAGAATTCAGATAAGGTCCATATTATGCAAATAGCTGTTATGATTCTTAAATCTCTTTAAATTCATAGGTTCTCTTCTATTTATCTGTCTATGTTTGTCTCTTTTTCTCTAATTATTTATTTGTTGAAGAAACTAGGCTTTTCTCATGTAGAGTGTCTACCAGTCTGGGTTTTGGTCATTAAATTTCCATGGTAACATTTAGCATGTTTATCTGTTGCATTTCTTGTAACTTGGTAGTTAGGTGAAGGCTTAATCAGATTCACTATTATTTTTTTGGTAACAGTGCTCCGTAGGTAGTGTTATATATATCTATCAAGAAGCAGAGAAAACCTCTAGTTGTCTCTCTCTTTTGTATGTTCACATCCATTGATAGTTATTTCCTAGATTCATTATTTCATAATTTTGGATTGCAAAATGGTTATTTTCCAAGTGTGTCATTCCTTCTTCATTTAGTCCCTAGAAAGAGAAAATTTTCTTCAGCACTCATTTAGTAACCCTGAGGTACAATTTGCTCAGGAAAAGAAGGATAAATGTTACATTCTTTTCCTTTGTTTACCAGTTTTCAAAATAAAGAGGCGGTTCCCTAGTGGCCTCCAAGAGTGACAAAGGAAGTTTGTTTGTGAGATTTCTTAGTGGGAGGTACTAGGTATCATTTTGAATTTGTGGGAATAAACACAATTGAAATCTTTTAACCACTTGCAGTTATTAGTCATGGTATTCAAATCATTGTATCTTTAGCCACTTCAAATTGTTTTTTTTTCTTTTTTTAGTCCTTTTGATAAGACTTTAGTAGTCCTTGATAGTTCTGTGCTTTCTGGCATAACAAGATGTTCTGGGTTTGTCTTCCACATTTCCTACCCTTGATCTGGAATCAGCCATTCCTTCATGAGGGCTTGGTACTGTATAGTAGAAAATGACATTTGGAAACCTCAGATGATCCTTGCTACCCTGTCACTATTTCTAGACCCTTCAGTAGACAAAACGAGGAAGTACATGCACATATACTTAATTATTTATATGACATGTATTTAGCAGATGAAAATATCATGAGTATATGCTGACACTTTTTTTTTTTTTTTTTTTGAGAAGGAGTTTCGCTCTTGTTACCCAGGCTGGAGTGCAATGGCGCGATCACCGCAACCTCCGCCTCCTGGGTTCAAGCAATTCTCCCGCCTCAGTCTCCCAAGTAGCTGGGATTACAGGCACGCGCCACCATGCCCAGCTAATTTTTTGTATTTTTAGTAGAGACGGGGTTTCACCATGTTGACCAGGATGGTCTCGATTTCTTGACCTCGTGATCCACCCGCCTCGGCCTCCCAAAGTACTGGGATTACAGGCTTGAGCCACCGCGCCCGGCCGTGTGCTGACACTTCTAATTCAGATTCAAT